GACTGTTGCACGAACCAAGAGAGTTTCTAGTTTCTTTTTGTCATTCTTTGATAAAGGCCGAATAACAAATTTGTCTAGTGATTCTTTTTCTAAAAAAAAATTTTTTGATTATTATAAAATTATAATTATTAAGTTACAGCATTTATTAGATTTAAATATACAGCACTTACTCATTTTTTCTATGCGAGGCCTTTTGTTATTAACATCCATATCTGAATTTTCACCCGCTTCTACTAACTTTATATCTAATATTTTGAACACCATTTCTATACCACTTTGTTCTTCAATAAAATGCTTACATTTTTTTAGGTGATTTTTTACTCTGTCACTTTTATTTGGAAACCTTTGAAGTATGGCAGCTGGTTTACCGACAGTATCACGGCATGCACAACAAATTGCATAATTCCTCTATTCATCAGTCTTATCATCAAGGATCTCAATATAATTAGTGAATTTATGGGCTTTTTTTCTTGACATTGTCAAGAGTCAAGAATCAAGAATTAAGAATAATTTAGTATAAAGATTAGCTAGTTAAGTATTTATATGAAATTATTACATCATTCGAATATACTTTGTTATTATGTAATTATGACTAATGCTAATTTCATACAATAAGTTTCTAGGATTATATATTTTTGCACTATCGCTATCGCTATACAAAACTGGAATTTTTTTTTTCTTCAGATGTAAACCAAATGTCCTTACTATTTATGGCATAACATTTAATTCGACTTTGTGAGATTATATACGACAGATTAGCTTGGTTGGTTCTAGATGGTTCATAAGTATTTTTTTTCTATTAATATTCAATACTCATTAAACTTTTTTGAATGCATTTAACAATTTTATAACCTGTAATTACATATTTAACGTTAAAACATAAAAAATAGATTTTGATAGAAGATTGAATTTGTACTAACTTGAACATCTAAAGCTACATATGTACGTAGCGGGTTTTTAGGCCGATTGAAAAAACTGATCTTTTATATTCTTTTAGACGTTACACATTAAAATTTTATATGCTAAATACTTTACTTGGATATTCATTTTGGGTTCGTAATAACAATCATTATCTGACATGTCTTATGTGAACACCGAACGATTTTTGAGTATGTTATTTGGCCACCTCCTAATACAATACACAAATTTTCATTCACCTCTTAAGAGGTGAATAAAAATTTGTATATTTATATTAGAAGGAGGCTGAATAAGATACAAAAAAATTGTTCGGTGTTTATGCCAGACATGTTAGATAAGCGTATTATTGGTCAAATTGTGGCTGATAATCACTGATTTCTTTACAGCAGATACCATATTATGACATGACCTTCGGCCACATCATAAAAATAGTATCCTAGTGAATAATCAGTTATCATCCACAACATGACCAATAACAAGTACTTATTGTGCCAGATATTATATTATTGCATTAATGAAATGCTTTTATAGTATGTACATATGTACGTACAGTGCAAGAAACCTAACAACTTCAATCACCTTATATAGAATAAAGGTTAACAAACTCATTGAAGATACATGCAAA